CCTGTAAGTCACCTTGTGAGTCAGGTTCTGGCTCCAGAGTCATAGTGCCTTGAGTTTCTATCTCAGTATTACTTAAATCTTGCAAGACAGGCTGTCCAACTATGTCAGATCTAGTCCCCTCTTCGTCAGCGATTTGCAACTCTTCAGCCTGTTTTCAGGTTGAATATCGAGATCTAGACTGAATGGTTCAGACGTCCCTTCGTCTTCCACAGTGTCGTGCATGGCGAATGGCATATCATACCATACTCCAAGTCCTTTATCTTCGGAATCAATGTCTTCACCATCATTTTCCTGGTCTGACATTTCAGGGTTCCCAACTAACTTTTTGTCATAGTCTTTGTTCTTTGGTTGTCGAGTCCTCCTTCCTATTTTCCTCCTCGGAACAGGGTCTTGGTTTTGCACTGGGTCAAAACATACTTTCTGTCCCACGGGCAAAATATGGTTGCGATGGAGTATTTTGACAGGCCCAACTCCATCTTCTGGTTTCAGCCGAAACACAGGTAGGTGTGACATTTGACTTTCCACAACATAAGGCGTTGAAACCCAGCGGTCTGCTAGTTTGTTTCCCTTGTAAGCCAAGGTTGCGGATGAGAACTCGATCTCCAGGTAACAGTTGTGTGAACTTTACTTTCTGATCATATCTTTGTTTGTTTCCTTTATTTTGTTTAGCCGCAGCTGACTCGGCGAGTTCATAAGCAGCTTTCAGTTCTTTTCTCATGTCTGCTACATACTTGAGGTATGTCTCTTTGCGTGTGTTGTCACTTGATGTTCCAAAACACAAGTCCACAGACATCCTTGCTTCACGCCCAAACATAAGATAGTACGGTGAAAACCCAGTGGCCTCGTTTGGTGTGCAATTGTAAGCGTGGACTAGATGTGCAATGTGTTGACTCCATTTCCTTTTCTCGTTGGGCTCAAGGGTTCCGAGCATATCCAATAGTGTTCTATTGAATCTTTCAGGCTGGGGATCCCCTTGAGGATGGTATGGGGTGGTTCTTGATTTATCAACACCGAGGGAACTGAGCAACTCATGAATGAGACGACTTTCAAAGTCTCTACCCTGATCACTATGCATGCGTCTCGGCAGACCGTAGTGGACAAAGTACTTCTCAAGCAAGACTTTAGCCACGGTTGCAGCTTTCTGATCTTTCGTAGGGAAGGCTTGTGCATAGCGTGTGTAGTGATCTGTAATGACCAGAACATTCTCTGTGTTACTAGAGTCCGGCTCAATGGACAAGAAATCCATGCATACTAAATCCATCGGACCATCACTTTGCATGTGAAACAGTGGGGCTACTCTCTTCTGAAGAGTCTTTCTCCCTATGCACCT